ACGAAAGAAACAATGAAAGAACTCTTGGTTTAAGTTCGAATCCTCCCCTAGCCAAATCTTTTTGCTTTTTTGAACAAAAGGTAACAAAAGTCGGGTTCTTTGTAAAACAAAAGCAGTTTTGTGCAAAAATAAACGCCAATTTTTACATTATTCTTTGCATTTTTGAAGTTCATAAGTCTACGTTGAAATCGAGGAACTATTTTGAGAATTGCAAGCTTTATGAACACTTTTAGAAGTTTTAAAAGAGTGCATGAGACATAAATCTTTAATGAAAAGACATGAGAAAAAGAATTTCTCAAAAAAGCAAAAACATTTGGCTAGAGGGAGGATTCGAACTCAAACCAAGAACTTCACAAGTTCCGTAGGCTAGCACACTATCCGCTGGATCGGCAAAGCCATTGAAAAGCTTCTTTGTTGCGGTACATTTTCTTTGGAGAGTCCAAAATCTATGGGAAATCTTCTATGAATCTTCTATGCCAGATTCCTTGCGATTGCATGGGTTTTTGCCTCTAATTTTTACTTCCGAATCAGCATAGGCGATTCTAGAAGCGATTCTAGTACTTTTTGTGATTGTGTGATTCCCTTGTGAGAACATTCTTCGCTTATACAGGGTGACCAGAAATAACGTTGCGGGATTTTCGGCAGCCTAAAATCTTCAAAGTTTCAATTTTGGGAGACGAATTTATTTTTAACCTATTCTCTGTGATTGTTTTGATTAGTTTCTTTGTTGTTTTACTTTGTTTCAAGTTTATTCATTTTTTTATAGGATGACAAACAAAGGATATGCCATTCTGGAGCTTCATCGCCAAGGTCAATGCGTGAGTGCGATCGCGCAATTGCTACGTGTTTCTCATCGGCTCGTCTCAAAAGCGATTAAGCGATACAAGGAGCTTGGCAACGATGGAGATCGTCCAGGAAGAGGCAGAAAAAGAACAGTCAACACCTCCAGAAATCGTAAAGTGATTTAGAAGCACGTGGCCCAGAATCCACAGGTCTCAATGAGAAAGATCCCTCGACAGATGGGGATCGCTCGCGAATCGGTTCGACTTATGGCCAAAAATGAGCTCAAAATTCACCCTTACAAGCTCAAGCAAGGGCAACAACTCGACGACAACAACAAACGAGTTCGACTCGAAAGATGTCGAGAGCTTCTCAAGCGGGCCGCAACTCCACGCTGGGAGCGAATCCTGTTTTCTGACGAGAAGCTCTTCTTGCAAAGCTACAACCACCAAAACGATCGGATTTGGTCAATGTCCTCTCGAGGCAGCTCTGCGATTGTTCAACACCGACAAAATCCCAAAACGGTCATGGTATGGCCCGAAATCTGCGCAACCGGAATTTATTTTTTAACCTATTCTCTGTGATTGTTTTTTTTAGTTTTCTTTGTTGTTTTACTTTGTTTCAAGTTTATTCATTTTTTTATAGGATGACAAACAAAGGATATGCCATTCTGGAGCTTCATCGTCAAGGTCAGGGAATGGGATCGAATCACTCGGGCCGAGCTGCGGCCCATCGCCGAAAATTTCATCAAACGTTTGAGCCTCTGCATCGGAGCCAAAGGTGACCACTTTGAAGAAAAGTAGATTTTATGCTCTCTTTATATCAGGTTGTTAATAAAAGATTGTTTCTGTTACAAAATCTTTTTGGATTTTTAAAAAAATAGGCTAAATTAGGCCGCCACGTTATCGCTGGTCACCCTGTGGAATGCTGAAGTACTAGAATCGCTTATAGATACACTCAATCACGAAGCGATTCGGTCAACTTCAAGCTGGTGTGATTCCCTTGTGAGAACATTCTTCAGAACACAAATATACGAGTTCAAAGCAAGCTTCCAGAAGTTTCCAGAGGTTTCCATCAGTCCAATCCGGTTCAAAGCTGTATTTAGTAACTCTTTGAAAGTCTAGAGTTATATGTCAAAAAGAAAAAAGGAAGTAATTTTTGGCTAAATTTTAAAATATCTTGAATATTGACTTCTTTCTCAATCAATGCGCCAGATTTCTTGTGATTGCGTGGGTCTTTGTCTCTAATTTTTACAGATTCTGTATCACTACTATTAAAGAGTTTTATCATTTACCAAAGTGAGACAGACATAAGATTTGTTCCAAAAATTCTTGCAATTCTTTCATGTACTCCTTTGGCTCCTTTTGACATACAGCTGTTAACTCGCTGTATCCAATACGGTTCCAATACGGTTCCTATTTTGTTCTGATACGGTTCCAATACGGTTCCTATTTTGATCTGATACGGTTCCAATACGGTTCCAATACGGCTCCAATACGGCTCCAATACGGTTCCAATTCGGATCCAATACGGCTCCAATACGGTTCCAATACGGTTCCTATTTGGATCTGATACGGTTCCAATACGGTTCCAATACGGTTCCTGTTTTGATCTGATACGGTTCCAATACGGTTCCAATACGGTTCCAATACGGCTCCAATACGGCTCCAATACGGTTCCAATACGGTTCCTATTTTGATCTGATACGGTTCCAATACGGCTCCAATACGGCTCCAATACGGTTCCAATACGGTTCCTATTTTGATCTGATACGGCTCCAATACGGTTCCAATACGGTTCCAATACGGTTCCAATACGGTTCCAATACGGTTCCAATACGGTTCCAATACGGTTCCAATACGGCTCCAATACGGCTCCAATACGGTTCCTATTTTGATCTGATACGGCGAGTTGATTTATACAGCCGGCGAGTTGACAATTTATGTCTTGACATGAATAAATTTAGCCATTCCTCTGATGCCGAAAATTCCTCGTCACCTTTCCACATTAACCTGGCTTGGCTTTGAATCATTTTTCGTATCACTCGCATCTTCTTTGCCCGCATTTCTTGAATCCAAGCAACAAGATCCTTGTCAAAATCGAAATCGACAACAAAAATTATATAATATTAAAATCGAACATGATGGGTTATTTTCTAGGATTGAGTTTTGATAACAATAAAGCTTAGCGCCGCAAAAGGTAAGTCAATTCTCAAACTTTATGCAGGTATATCAGAGCACTATAGCTTTGCGCGAAGCTAAGCAAATTTGAGTTAATGTGCCACTCAAAAATAACCCCCAATATAAGATGCACTTGGTCACGTGAACTCATCGATAGTTTTACAGATTTCTTTCCAGCTGGCTGACTTGCTAAGAGTCTTGTCTACTAATCGAAAGGTCAAAGGTTCGATTCAAGATAAGAAAGTTGCTTCTTTTTCCATTTATCTGGTTTTTTTTTCTTAATAATATTTGATTAATAGAAGTTCTCTCTATTCTATTCCTTTTCCCACATTATTCGTGTTAGATAAATGTATTTTCTTTTCAATCCTTGATTTTTAAAGATCTCTAAACTATTCTCAAGTTGTTTTCATAGATTCTCATAAATTTTTCATTTATTTTTAGCTTTTCATCAGCTCATATCATTATTTTAAATAAAAATCTTCATAAAAAAATGAATTTGAACATGAAAAATGAGCTATTTATCAAATTTTTTGACGTAATTTCTTCTTTTCCAAGACTAAAATGATTAGCGATCAATCAGTAATCAATCCTTTGTCCATTTTGTAGTTTGATTTTAAAGGATTGTAGTCTATTTTCGGGCAATCATTTGATAGGAAAGCAAGCAAAAAAAAAAACAATCCAATCTTTTGCCTTTTAAATTACTAACAGATTTACTATCGTATTGAGCTTTTTCGCTTTCTTTATATGATAGTTATCCTTCAAAATATTACTGTTATTGTAAATGTATGTCTATTCGAATTGTCTATGTCTAATTTTTCTTTCAGTGTGTCGATTCTATAATTTTTAGCCTTTAACTAACAGATTTTGTCATCATATTGAGCCTTTTCGCTTTCTTTCTTTATTAATACATTAAAATATTCCTTATATTTTATATAATACCATATTTTCTTTAATAGTAGTGCACCCAAGCGAGCTGAGTTAGTGAGGATTTTACGGTTTCCAAGCTTTTGCAGAAACTCAACACTCACTTTAGGTTGTAGATTAGATGCTTTTCCCTGATTATTTTCTAGTAATGCACCAGTGCAGGCGAGTTAATGACTATTTTAGGGCTTTCAAAGTTTTCCCAGAAGCTCAACACTCAAATCCCCCCACAAGATCTCATCGTCAGCTACATTTCCCGACCCCACATCGATAGGTTCTCATAAACGCTTTTCAAGATTTCGAGCAATTAAGGCAAGACTTAAGATGCACTACTATTAAAGAGAATACGGTATATAGCTACATAGCCAAATAACGATAGGTTCTGATGAGCGCTTTTCGAGATTTCGAGCAATTTAGGATCAGTAGTTTTCGAGATTTCGAGCAGTAAAGAATCGCAAATCTTCTGTCCATATCTAAAGACCATATTTTCTCTCATAGTAGTGCACTCCGCCGAGTTGATGACGATTTTACGGTTCCTAAGCTTTCACAGAAGCTCAACCCTCGAATCCTCCACTAGATCTCATCGTCAGCTACATTTTCCGACCCCACATCGATAGGTTCTGATAAGCGGTTCTCGAGATTTCGAGGAATTAAGGCAAAGTTTAAGATGCACTACTATTAGCGGTATATATTAGGTTTCTCTTATTGAAATTTTTGATGCTTTGTGAAAAACGTTGAAAATATTAGGCATTTACGTGATTTTTCTTTTTCTTTTCTTTCATCACATCAACCATTCTAAATTTAAAGTACTAGATTCTCTGCCCGATCTTCCTGACAATATTTTTTCAGTAAGAGATTGTAAGTAAGCTTTAAAACCTTTAACATACCGTATTTTCTCTAATAGTAGTGCACCCAAGCGACCCGAGTTAGTGAGGATTTTTACGGTTTCCAAGCTTTTGCAGAAGCTCAACACTCAAATCCCCCACTAGATCTCATCGTCAGCTACATTTTCCGGCCCAACATCGATAGGTTCTGATAAGCGCTTTTCGAGATTTCGAGGAATTTAGACGACCCTCTTGGTGCACTACTATTAGAGAAAATAAGGTAAATGTTTTTAGTATGTCGATTGTCATTGAAAAACGTGGCCCAATCACTTGCATCAAAATCGACAATGTGAAGCGGAAAAATGCGCTAACAGACGAGGTGAGTAAGAAATTTTTGCAAAATTTCAAATTTCATGGCTTTAGATGTACACTCAACTTTTCCAAGCGCTTGATGCAGCTGATGATGATGAGGATACTTTCATTACTGTTGTAACTGGTAATACTTTTTGAAAAGCTCAAATAAGAGTTGTTTTTGGTGGAAAAAAAAGAGACCTAAATGCGTCAGAGTTTACTCAAAAACCTCTACGAAGAAATTCGCTGCATGATTTTCTCTGAAAATTTGGCTATACACGAGACTTTTTATGCTTAATCTTTATCGATTGACACGAAGAAAGATTTCCTTACAGTTGTTACAATTGTTAGCTAAAGTGTTTAAATTTGGCGATCTATCTAACTTTTGATGCTCTATCTTTTATCTCTTGACACCAAGATGGGTTTTCTTACAATTGTTAATTAAAGTGGCTAAACCGTACCATCGAATCATCGCCCTTTTTGAACTTTTTTTTGATGCTCTCAAAAAAATGCAGACATAAGTCATTTGTTTGTTTTAAAACCTGTTTTAAACCAGTTTTAAAACCTGTTTTAAACCTGTTTTAAACCAGTTTTAAAACCTGTTTTAAACCTGTTTTAAAACCTGTTTAAAACCAGTTTTAAAACCAGTTTTAAAACCTGTTTTAAACCTGTTTTAAAACCAGTTTTAAAACCTGTTTTAAACCTGTTTTAAACCAGTTTTAAAACCTGTTTTAAACCTGTTTTAAAACCTGTTTAAAACCAGTTTTAAAACCAGTTTTAAAACCAGTTTTAAACCTGTTTTAAACCTGTTTTAAACCAGTTTTAAAACCTGTTTTAAAACCTGTTTTAAACCTGTTTTAAACCTGTTTTAAACCTGTTTTAAACCTGTTTTAAACCTGTTTTAAACCTGTTTTAAAACCAGTTTTAAAACCTGTTTTAAAACTTGTTTTCGTAAACCTTTTTTTGACTACCCGACTACAGGCTCTCAAAGAATCCAAAAATAAGTCATTTGTAAAGCCGTTTTAATGTTATGTTATGCGGCCAAAATAATTGACCTTTCTAATGAAATAAACCGTAGTTCAATTGGTGCATTTGTTGAAGCGAAAGTACGAGCGAAAGAAGCAAAAGTACGAAAAGAAACGTAAAGCCTAATAACCTAACTAATCAAATTCTAGGTTGCGGCGACGAGTTCTACTCATCGGGAAACGATTTCACGCCGGGAAGTCTCCCCACTCCGTAAGGGATTTCATCAAATAATATCTTTTTAGGGCAAACTTCATAAAAGAATTCAAACATGTAGAGATCCGGATGATCGAGACTATCAAGCTGGTTTCAAGTTGTTGACGAATCGACTCATTCGTCATAAAAAGGTTTCACTTTGGTTTTTGAGTTAAAAACTTAAGATTTTGATAATATAGCATTTTTCCCCGATTCCTTTCAAGAATTGCTATTTTCTCATTTCTTAAAAAGCTTTACATGTTCTGTTGAAATCGATCCCAACAATAGGAAAATCCTTGAGAGATTAGACTTATTTTGGTGATGATGAGTGCTGAAAGAAAATGTGAATAAATGAAGGGGGATTTTGGGAAGATCTTTGAGTGAATATTTTGATGATAAATTGATGATCGAAAATTGAATAACAGGTAAATAAATGGGAAAACGTTACTGGTCAATGATTAGAGTAAAAAGGGGATAAATTGGAGGGGATTTGGACGTAGAATGTAGAAATCAAAATCGTAATTGTGTCAAATGTTCGCTGTTCGCATTAGGAATCGAATTGCTGAATTACAAACAAAAAACAAACAGAATTGCAAGTTCTATAATACAATTTAAAGTTAAATCAGTTTAACGTTTAAACCTAATCAGTTTAAAAGTAAATTGCGTGCGTTTTTGAGTCAAAATTTGGGTCAGAAAGTGAAATTTGTACAGGAAACTCGAGCTTTTACGTGTTTTTTTTTCAAATCTATGCAATAAACAGCTGTTTTATCAGGTTTTTTTTCCTGTTTTCACCGGCTCTTTACTGTTTTTAGGTACTCGTGACTCTTACGCCTAGCTTTGACTATCCATTTGCATATCCGCCTATCATTAGCATAAAAAAACGCTCACATTTGCATATTGCGCACAATTAGCATAAAAAGCCGTTCGTTTTTCATTTAAATGCATATAAAACGCCTTAAAGGGGGGTATTAATCGCGGCCGGTTGACCATAAAATTTTTACGCCAACCCCTGTTATTTTAAATCGCTGATTAATTATAAAAAGAATAAAAATCACCCGGCTAGAGTGATTTGATGGGTTTACAAATTTTTGGAGACGCTGCAAGGCTCGCGTAGTTCATCTACAAGGTAAGTGCGAAAGTAAAGCAAAAGTCAGGCATTATGTCTTTTGTTTTCTTTGCCTTTCGATTATTTTTGTTTTTAACATCTCTAGATGCCTTTTTCAAGATCGAGATTTTATTTTTAGATAATGCAAAAGATCATTAAGCTAATCTAGCTTATGGTTTTCTAAATACTCTTGTTTTCGAAAGCCAAGAAAACTTATGTTAGGAAACAAAAGAAAACTACAATCGAATGGAAAAAAAGATCTAATTGCGTCAATCAAAGCGCTGAAGATGGGGGAGATTCAGTCATTTCTGTTGAGGATGCGCTGGAAATTGACTAAGATAGGAAGCCAATCTGAGAAACTGCTGTACTTGAGCGAAGATGAAAGTGAGCAAGAGGAAGAATTATAGATTAACAACTTATTTGTATTGTTTTTTGTGCTTTTTATTTTGTTTTTAAATTTATCTGCAATTAAAACTCAATCGATCTAGACTGTGCTGAGGTGTCTGAGTGACGATCTTGTTTTTTTCCAAGCCTTGCAACGTCTCCAAAAAGTTGTAAACCCATCAAATCACTCTAGCCGGGTGATTTTTATTCTTTTTATAATTAAATCAGCGATATTAAAATAAAAAAAACAGGTGGTTGGCGTAAAAAAATTTTTATGGTCACCCGGCCGCGATTAATACCCCCCTTTAAATAAAAGGATAAAAAGGTAAATTCGAAAGCCTATTGAAATATTGGGTTGTTGAATTGAAAACTGCGGGCTATTGTCATATGTGACAGTTTGAGCACTTTCTTCAAAAGAAACCCATTTTGGTGTCAATGGAAAAGTTGTAGAGAATCAAAAATCAAGCTTATATCCAAATTTTCAGAACGATTCAAAAACTCGTTTTGAAGAAATGCCAAATTTACACAAAAGAAATGCCAAATTTTCACAAAACTTGCATTTTAAGCGAAACTACTAAGTGTATCTTTTTGGAAATTTGGCTATAAGGCTAATTTTTGATTCTCTACAACTTTTCCATTGACATCAAAATGGGTTTCTTTTGAAGAAAGTGCTCAAACTGGGCTGACGGCTGACACCTCCAGTCCTCGATTTTTGAGTGTCACACTTGTCTCACACACAAACCAAAACCCAAACGAAAGAGGAATCCGCAAATTGCCTGTAAAATGGGCAGAAGTCGTCAATAATAATGGAAACTATTTGGAATGAATTCATGGTTTTATGTTGAATAAATTTTAGTTCAAAGTCCAGCAGTTTTCAATTCACCAAACTCAATACTTGAGATCGTACTTAATCATTGAATAACATTGAAACGAACCCATTATTCACATTAAGAAAACCCAGTGAAGAACGTTATTTCATTTCATTTTAAGCTGAGTTCAAAGTCCAGGAGTTTTCAATGCACCAACCCAATAGGATGACATAACGGATAACAAAACGATAAACGGATATTTGAAAAGGATAAAAAACTAAAAAGTAAACTAAACTTAGGCCAAGAGGAATTCCTTTATCTTTCAGAACTTTCTAGTTTAGCCAATTCTTGAAACACTTCTGGATAAATAATTGGTAGAATTTTGCTAGTTATTTTTGAATTTTAGGCATTGATCGCTCTTGTGAACGGGCCAGCGATTGGGATTGCTTGCACGACGCTCACTCTTTTCGATCATGTCATTATGTCGGATAAGGTAAACTACTTTAAAGGGGTACTCCGGTCTAAAGTTGACAAGAATCTCGATCATTTCTATATTATTCGATTCGTTTTAGTCTTTTCTACAACAAATTTTCTATAAGAAAAAGAAGATTTGAATGGAGAAATGAAGAAAAACGCGATTTTTCCTTTCCACTCCATCCTAAAACGTGAATATTTTGGCAAAAAGTATATAAAGGTTTCGTGCAATTGCATTTTAGCACTTGCGTTCTTTTCTTTTGCATGTATTTTCTCAAATTTAACAGCAATCTTAAATATTTTTTTGTTTTTTTTAATAGAAACACTTCTAAAAGTATCAAAAAAAAGGTGAAAATGAGAAGAATGAGATTAAGAAGACGTGAAAACAGGTACCCAATTTAACACTGACTCTCCCGGAATACCCATTTAAGAAAAAGCACTCATTATGACAATTTAAACTCTTCAATCAAAAAGACTATCAAAAAAGACAGTCTTTTCTTTTGTTTTGTCAACTTATCGTCGTCCGATGAGTGATTGAAATTGCATTTCTGAAAAGTTATGGTATCTTTTGATAGCTTTACCGTAGCTTTTTATAGTCTTTTGTAGCTTTTATAGCTTTTATAGCTTTTATAACTTTCACGAGAATCCCCAAAACTTTTTATTCAAAAAAAATTCCGATGTTTTCTTTAAAACTAAAAAAAAAAGTGCTTTCTGAGTGGGAAAATTGCCCTAAATTTGTAATTTTTAAAAAATTTTGCTTACTCAAATCTGCCCTTTTAGAAAAATCGGATCAAAGGATTTTGAGAGAGAATAAGAGCACTTTAAGAAAACATTTGCACAGAAAACATTCTTTTTGCATAATACACTTATTTCTCTAGGCATACTTGCTTTGTCCGTTCACTCAATTCGGCCTTTGTCCTGAGGGAACATCCAGCTACACTTTCGAGAAAATCATGGGAAGGGCAAAGGTCAGTGAAATGCAATATATATAGCGTAAATACTGTAATAGTACCCCGCCCCCATAATGACGGTGCGGAGCGTTGCGTAGTCTAGCTTTGGACGCGTTTTTCTCGACACTGGTTTATGCTACAATGGGCGTTTAGGTATCAAAAAATAGCTGAGATTCAGGGCTATTTTTTGATACCAAAGACGCATTTTTTGAAAGTACGGGCGCTTTGAAAAAAATGAAATACTAAAAAAAACTTTTGCGACTACGCGACTGTACGAGGGCGGTGGGGTACTATTACAGTATTTACGGTATCTCTATATATAAACGGCAATCAGAAGTGGACCAGCAAAACATAGAATAAAAATGATATTTGTGTAAACAAAATCTTTTCTAAATGTGTTAGACTCAAATCGGAATGGAAAACTCAAAGTAATCGAAATGGAAAACGATTGATGGAATTAAATGCTTTTGTAAAGATGATGGATTGCCCAATCCAATCAATCTCAATCCAACCAACCTCCAAGCTGAAATCTAGCTCTATCGGCCCAGTGTAGTCAACCTGACTAAGTTGCTCCGTTTGTTGACCGTAATCTCCTTGGAATTTCAAGACTAGAGTGGGAGACACAGAAAATTCTTTAATTAAAGCAAAAAAAGTCTTAACAACTGAATACTTACTTTATAAAAAAAGAGAGTGGAATTTTCCAGCTTGGTCCTAGGCTCTAAGACCAAGTGAAGATTCAAAAGCTAGACCAGAACCAGGCTATTGGCTTGAACTTGCCAGTCCTGTTCCCAAAATTCCCTTTGAAATTAAAAAAGATAAGATTCAATTATATTTGTAATTGTAAGCTGTTGTAGAGAAAATATTGTAAAAAAATAAAATTATTAGAAAGTTGTAAGAAGCGATCAGTTTTTTAGATCGTAAAATTTCAAGCTATTTTCTGGAACATTTCGAATTCTAATGAATGAATGAACTAAGTTCTAATGAAAATTACGAGTTCAACTAATAAACTCTATGGAATCTTTTGCGATATCGTGCTTTTTTGGATCAGAAAATTGAATGATTAGGATTTCAAGCTTTTCTTGCATGTAAAAGAGCTTGTAAATGCTTGTAAAAAAGCTTGAACTCTTGATTTCACGATTAAGAAAAGGAAAAGTTTGTAAAAGAATTGAAAGTACAGTTTGCAATACAAGAATTTAGTGGACTGTAGTGTATTCGGATGAATTTTAGGCTGGCTCGATGGCACTTTTCGCCGAGAGAATGACCGCTCAAGAGGCCTATCAATGTGGAATCGCGTCGATGTTGATCCCGCATGAAAAATTCCGCCAAGAGACCGAGAAACTCCTCGAAAAGTATAGCAAACTCTCGAAATCGGTGGGGATTTGGAAATTTTTTTCTTTTTTTTACTACTTGAGCAGTCGCGTACAGTCGCGTACAGTCGCGTAGTCGTTAACTGTTTTTTTTCAATAACCTGGTGTAAATTCAAAGATAAACAAAGATATTATAGTCATTCGATAGCCCTGAATCTCCTCTTGAAACCTAGCAAAAAGTTATCAAGAACTTTCAAGAATCAAGAACAAAATCCTGACTTGAAATCGTCATGGGCTAAACTTGATCCCGTCAAATCCCGATTAGATGCACAGAAAAACTTCTCTCAACCCACAATCAATCTTCTCTTTGTCTTGTTAGCTCTTAAAACCATTCATTAGCCATTTCCTGCATCTAGAAATCTTCTTCCGACACATTTGCGTATCCTTCTAAGATCAAAATCCAAACCTCAAGTGATTTTGTGCTAATCTCGATTCAAAACAATATAGTGAATCCGCCTTTGGATCAAGAATCATCAAATCCCGATTAGATGCACAGAAAAATCGTTTCTGCAAGGATTTTAATATCTGAAATGGCGATAATCGTATTTTTCGCCTTTTTTTCAAAAGGAACACCCTGATTTTGCTGAAATCTTAGTAATCTGATGATCGAAAAACCCATCCGATGATAGAAAAACGATTTAAAGGATAAAATTGGATGCGTTGGCGATTTTCGATCGTTGTCTAGAGAGAAAATTTTGGATTTGGGTACTTCCTGGCCTTGATAACGGTTCTTTCCCACCCCGGTTTATAACGGTTCTTTCCCAACGGTCCCATCGCAGCTAGACGGTGTAGTGGTAAGTGTGCGGACTATCGGTCTGGCTTCTGCTCATCGTCCACGGGTTCGAGTCCGCTTGGCGACGAATTTTTGCTTTCTTTTGCAAAAGATTTTAAAATACTTTTTATGAACTTTGAAGTGTACATTGACAAGTACTTTATATATAGAACACTAAAACAATGGGTTAACAACTGAATCCTTCCAAAGCATTCGTATCTTTCTGTGCTTTCAATTAAAGCAAACAATCTTTTGTAAGTAATTTGTTTTTTAAGACAAACAGAATTTATAGCAAAGAAAAGAAGTGTACGAATGGCTAGAATAATAGCTATAAGATACAAAATTGCATTTGTAAAAGCATTTCTATCATTTCTATAAGCGTTAAAGCAGTATGGGTATAGTTTGCAAAAGAGATTTACAAAAAGAGATTCTATTTCAGAGTGTACTGGCGTCGAAAGCATTGATGAGACCAAGAGAGGCGCAGGATAAATTGTTGGCGGTGAATCAACGAGAGGATGATCTTTTAAAACAACTTTTTGTTTCCGAAGAAACAATCGAACGTCTCATGCAACGTTTTGCGCCAAAGAGCAAGATTTGAAGTGCTGTACTTTATTGTTGATTCGTTTCAATAAAGTTTTCAACGAAAATTTCAAATATTTTGCACAATTTACCACATTGACTATTAAAGAAGCCTATTTTCAATAAATTTTCCTGTTTTACATTTCAAATTGTAACTTTTTCTTTCTGGATTTCTCCTGTAATTGAGAAGATTAACTTTAAACATTTTAACGTTTTATATTGTAGTATCCAATCCAAATCCTTGGCTTTAAGTCTTTAAACGATTTTTGTAGAGCCAAGATACCAAAACAAGATATTGGTTACATATTGCCTTTCTTTGACTTGTCATATTTATTCTAATAGAAGTCCAGCTTCCAATAGAAGTCCAGCTTCCAATAGAAGTCCAGCTTCCAATAGAAGTCCAGCTTCCAATAGAAGTCCAGCTTCCAATAGAAACAATAACTATAGATATTCAGCTTAGTAAACTGAATAATACAGATACTCTGAGTTTTCAACCTTTAAGGATATCTAAGGGAAAAATTGCTTTCTTTATTATTCGTTTTGTATAAGCGATGAAAATTTTTAATAAAGTTCTCTTGCAAAGCCTTATTTAGATCAAATTTATCACTTAGACTGGGTATTTAAATTTGGTAAAACCTAAAATTAAACTAATGGAAATCCCTGGTTTTCCTAATCAGCCTAACTATTATATTTGAATCTATTAGGTTGTTCGGATATAAACGAGCGTTTGCACGAGTTCGGATATAAACTTCTCATCTCCAGTAACAAGAGAATCAAAAAAGTCATGATATTTAACGTGGCGGATGAGGATTCCGGCAATAGCGAAGCCTTGTTTGCAATGCTTAACTCATGAGGAAGTCATTTCCCGTATCTGATCGCCTTTCCAATGGCGTGGAGATGCTCATCAATAGTAGAATTTGTACATAGAAACTGTTGAACAAGTTTATGCGTCGTTTAACCTGGATCCGATTCGATTGCAGCCCTCAAAGGATCGTTGTCTACCGTTTGAGGTCGACGTGTTCATCATCCTCGAGACTTTCATCACCATTCCGAAAGCGTTGGAATCAGGCTCGGCATCGGCTTTCGGCTTAGGCTTAGACTTAGGCTTAGGCTTAGGCTTAGACTTAGTGCGAAGGCTAGCGGCTAGAGCCTAGCACTAAGTCTATTTGGGTTTGGGCTAAACCCCCATTTTCTGGATCACAGCCAGTTCTCGGAGCTAAGGGACACCCGCTTGGCGATGCTCATCCGCTAAGGCTTAGGCTTAGGCATCATTTCTATCGACGTGTTCATCATGTCAAAGATTGTCAAAGATTGGCTAAGAAATAGTAGAATTTGAACATAGAAACTGTGGAGCAAGTTCGTTTGACATGGATCCGATTCGATTGCAGTCCTCAAAATATCGATATCTACCGCTTGAGGTCGACGTGTTCATCATGAGAGTGTTCATCATCCTCGAGACTTTCATCACCATTCCGAAAGCGTTGGAATCAAGCTCGACATCGGCTTTCGGCTGAAGCTCAGGCTTAGGCTTAGGCATCATTCCTATCATTCCCAAATGCTTTGACCAGATCTCAATGGGATTCCACTACTGTTTTGCCCAGTTTGAAGTCGTAAAGTAGGCAGAACTTGATATTTGAAGTCGGTCATCTAAAGCAAGAAAAAAGCTCTTAAGAATAAGAAATTATCCGTTTAAAAAGTTTCCAAATATACACAAGATAACGTACTTTTAAATACAGAAAGACATTTTTTAAAAGCTTCTCTCACAAAAATAAGTTTAGTAACGCTTGTTTATATCCGAACAACCTAATAGGAAACGTCAAATTTCCAAGCCAATCCAAAATCGAATCCAGAAGCAAATGATTCAAATAAAATCCGATGGGTTTTTTTGTCTAATAAACCCAACAATTTAAACCAAGTCTAGTCGAGAAAAAAGTGAACTTTGAAATTTTGAATTGAATTAAATGGTCGCATCCGTTTCCTTGCTTTTTGCGTTCCTATTTTGCAATTATTCGCGTCGCATTTTTTCGTCTTTTTTCTCTCTTCCCCGAAATTATTTTTTTGATTGGAGGAGGGGTTTTTTTTTATATATATATGCTTTATTCAGGAGGGCGAATAGAAGCGAATCAGATAATCATAACCGCATATAATTGCTACAATACTTTCACAAAAAAGAAAGAAACCTAGAGATACAGTAAGACGATAGTCAGGAAAAACAGGTACAAAAAGATTAAATATAAGGCAGATTTGACATGGCAATTAGATCTAATTCGTTTACAGATACTTTGAATTTTCCTACAGACGAGAAGATACCAGGCGGGAGCTTATTCCAAACCCTACTAATACGGTTCGCGAAAGAATGATAAAGGGAAAGGTGGTGGGGATGAGAACCGAGCGAAATTTGATAAGGATGACTACGGGTCCTTCTAGGACTTTCCACAATTTTTGGCAAAGCTTCTGGCCCTTTTTGGGTTTGGAATTTTTGCCTTCGTTCTTGGGGGGACTTTGATGTTTTTATTCATGCGCCTATTCTTTCTTTTATTTCTATTCATTGATTACTCACACATCTTCTACTTTTATTTGGTTTAAAAAAACAACAAAAAGTTTATTCGCTCAAATCTATTTCAACTTGTTTACCGTGATATTGTGCAGATTTTCAAATGATCGCAGCGTCAATTTTGTTGGCGTCAATTTCATTGGTGATACATTGAGCTAATTGGGAAGTGTTCTGAAATGGAGTTCAAGTAATACTAGCAATATGATGCGAATCCGTTTCCTTCCTTTTTGCGTTCCTATTTTGCAATTATTCGCGTCGCATTTTTTCGTCTTTTTTCACTCTTCTCGAAATTATTTCTTTATTTGGAGGACCCCTCCTTTTTGTTTTTTTTTTTTGCAGAGCTTCTGGCCCTTTTTGGGTTTGTGTTTTTTGCCTTCGTTCTTGGGGGGACTTTGATGTTTCTATTCATCCACATGCTGTTTTTGTAATGGCTATCGTTGCATTTTTGGTTTTGTACTAATAAACAGTAAAATTATAAATTCAATTTACTTTATGCTACCCTTCAAGTTTTAAATCCTTTTTAGATAGCTGGTTTAACACTGTAAAAAGAACTTACTAACATTTGTGTCACCATCGCCCGAAGTATCAATCCGTTCTGTACTCTTATCACGAGTATTAACCTTATGTTGAATGTTGCGTGTTCTTGTTATGTTGTAAGTGTAAAGAAATATTCTTTGCGTGCTTGGTACTCTTCTCTCAAGACACGTTATTTCTTGTTTCGAGATACCTGATCTCAATTGAACTAAGACACTTTATTCAATTTGGTTCCTATTTGGTTCCTATTTGATTCCTATTTGGTTTTTCCTATTTGGTTTCTATTTGGTTTTTATTTGGTTCCTATTTGGTTCCTATTTGGTTCCTATTTGATTCCTATTTGATTCCTATTTGGTTCCTATTTGATTCCTATTTGGTTCCTATTTGATTCCTATTTGATTCCTATTTGGTTCCTATTTGGTTCCTATTTGATTCCTATTTGGTTCCTATTTGGTTTTTTCTATTTGGGCTCTCACTTGAGCAAGATAGGCTTTAACACAAGATATTCAGCTAACAAGCTACAAAACAATAAATGATTTGGGGCGCGAAATAGAATGAAGGCGCACGGATTTCCGCAATACTTTTCCAATTTTTAGGCTGTCAGTGTCAGGCAACTTTTTAGTGGCTATTGCCACAGTAAGCGTTTTGGCGAAACCCTTTTAACCTATTCTGAAGGCTATTCTAAAGCAAAGTCATCCCCGATGATAAGGTTAAAGAGGGTCGCAACCCAAACTGAAATGGATTTTAATTAAATCTAAAGCACCACTAGGATAACAGCTATACTTTTCGTACTCAAAAAAAAACAAGATAACGCATTAAAAACGAATTCAAAACAAATTCAAAACTAGAGTGCTTGTTGTTGTTGAAAGTGCTTTGAAAAGTTCCCCTGGAAAACAGTTTTCTGATTTCGAGCACTTTACAAATCTCCTGTGAACTCTGAAAAAAGCCCATATCACTTTACAAATTCTTAATTCCCACAAAAAGCTTTAAAACTAAAATTGCGAATCGAAAACAAGTTGATGCGATTATTTTTCTCTACCGGAAGGATTCGAAATCAAGAATTATCGAGAATTATCGAGAATTTCGAAACGAGCAAAAATCTTCTCTTGATCATACGCCAAATATTCTACAAACGATCAAAAAACGACAAAAAAAAAAAAGAGAAAAGAAAAAAAGAAAAGAAAAGCAGAAAAATCCCTTTGCTTTTTAACAAATATTGAAATGGAGATCACTTAATCTTTTTGAAAATCGAAAATCCGACATAAAACGTGAAAAACAAAAGGCTCAGCTGATGAATTTACGTCAAAAGAAAGGAATACGGTGGAAAGTTTTCTGTAGACTTTGCATCGGAAATTAAAATTGAAAAAAAAAAGATTGATGAAATTTCGATTTAATTCTTTTGAAACTTTAAAATATTGGGTTGTCCAGTTATGAATGCGCGTTTTTTACTATTTTGTAAATTCCTCAAGATACTGAAAATCAAGAAAAAGATCTATATGACTATTATTCGAAAGCTGAAGATCTCCTCTACATTTTGATATAAAAAGCTTTTGAATTTGTTCAGCTTTTGGGGAAAATTGACTGCACAGAAGAGGAGGTGGCCAAAAAATGGAAGGGTGCCTTTGGATCAAGTTTTGGCTCCGCTCAAATTGAGTTAACCGTTTGATGTTTAGCCAATAGATATATCAATACAACTTTTTTTTCAATATAACAATTTCAGAGCATCTTTACTTTTCTTTTCTTTTCTGGGCGGTTATTTTACACCATAAAACTTGAGGAATAGCTAAGCTGGAATGGGTTTTTTTTTCGAAAACGACCTCTCCCTTTGTGCAGTCGATTTCCCAAAAAGTTGAATGAATTCAAAACTTTTTTTATTCCAAAATGTAGAGGAGATCTTCAGCTTTCGAATGATATATAACACTCATATA